CTGCCTCAGCCTCCCAAGTAGCTGGGACTACAGGCATGCGCCACTATGCCCGGCTAATTTTTTCTATATATTTTTAGTTGTCCAGCTAATTTCTTTCTATCTTTAATAGACACAAGGTCTCACTCTTGCTCAGGCTTCTTGAACTCCTGACCTTGAGTGATCCTCCCGCCTCGGCCTCCCAGAGTGCTAGGATTACAGGCGTGAGCCACCGCGCCCGGCCAATACAGCAATATTGATACAACCCACACTGCCCGATTTATAAAAAATATGAAGTAATTATACTCTTTAAAACATATTTTAAGAGGGTTAAGGGTCCCTGAGACCAAAAAGAACTGCTGACACAGAAGCTCTGGAGTTAGACTGCCTGGGCTCACACTTCAGCTCTACACAGCTTACTGGTTTTGTGACATCCAGAGTCAGTTATTTACCCACGCACTGTCTCAGTTTCCTTCTCAGTAAAGTGGAGTTAGTAAAAGTACTTAATCTCACAGGATTATTAAGAGCATTAAACAAAATGATACGTGTAAAACACGCGAACACTGACACAAGAAACCACTGAATCTTAGGTGGTATTATTTGTCAAGTGGTTTCTAATCAAAGGACTCTTTTATGTCAAGGCCGTTTCTTCCCATTTTAATCAAACATTTGAGTAACTTGACACAATCAAATATTTGAGACACTCTCCTGGAATATATACTTAAATTTTTTTCATCCTGAAATTTACTAAAGCGTTATTCATTTGGATCTCCGATGAAAACAGTGACTGCTGGAAGACGAACTCTTGCAAGTGTCCTCAAATTATAAAAACAGTTACAAGAAAGGTGAAAAAATAAACACCTCCAATTAATTTCTCCAAGCAGTAGGGTTTAAACCTCAGCAAGCTAAAAGCACAAACTTGAACCTAAAAAAAAACAAAATCTTGCTTAATTATTACACAGTAAGTCTTCCTGAAACTATGAAAAGACACGCCACTTACAGAGTCATGGGTGAGGTAGGTATCGCAGTAGTCACAATAAAACCTAAAAAGAGATAAAACAGAAGATGCCAACCAGTTAACAGATGCCCATCCACGGAAGTGCTGTTCAATGAAGGTTAAAAAAAACCACACACACAAACAAAAACCTAACCTTCTCACGACTAAAAGCGTCAAATAAAGCCTCATAACATAAACCAGGCTTTTTTTACTGCCTTAAGCGGGGTCGACCTCCACGCTCGAAAAGGGGTGTCCAGAGCTCCCGGTCAGCCTCCCGCCCTTCCTTTTCCCCGATCTTTTCCTATCCCTCGAAGCTCTGAGAGCCAGAACCCACTGTCCCACAGAGCCAACTAGTAACTGCGACCACCTTTAGATTTCAGGCCCCCCACTCACTTGGGCATGTTCTCTCTAGGCCGTTGGCCACTCCGTTCGGTGACGCCCGGAAATGACGCACACAGCAAGCGCCGAGGCTGCGGAACCTACCAGATCAACCCGAAGACGGAAGTCCTGGCCACCTATAGCAGAGCGAGGGGTGGGCTTTCCCCTCTCTTCCTTTCACCTATAGGAGGGCGAGAAGGAGTGCTAAGGATCCCTACGAGGTTCAATGCACGCTCATTCAATTTTGATTTTTTTTTTTTTTCTTTTTTTTTTTTGAGATAGGGTCTCACTCGTCGCCCAGGCTGCAGTGCAGTGGCGTCGTCATAGCTCGCTGCAACCTCAAATTCCTGGGCTCAAACGATACGCCTGCGTCAGCCTCCGGAGTAGCTGGGGCTACAAGTACCGCGCCACCACGACTGGCTAATTTATTTTGTAGAGATAGGGGCTGTGGCTATTGCCCAGGCTAGTCTCCAACTCTTGGCCTCAAACGATCCTCCCGCCTGGGCCTCCCAAATTACAGGCGGATTACAGGCGTGAGCTATCGCGCACCCAGCCTTATCGTGATTCCTGATGCTTCTGGAAGGGCGTATTTATTCTTTCCACAGATATCTAATGTTTCTCTGCTGTGTGCCAGGTGCTGCTATAAATACTGAGAAAACAGCAGTGAAAGACAAAAATCTTTGTCCCGATGGAATTGTTATTTTAATGGTGTAAGACAGCTTTTAAAAACACGGTGCGGGCCAGGCACGGTGGCTCACGCCTTTAATCCTAGTACTCTGGGAGGCCGAGGTGGGAGAATCGCTTGAGATCAGGAGTTCAAGACCAGCCTGAGCAAGAGCGAGACCCCGTCTCTGCTTAAAAGTAGAAAGAAATTGGCCAAACAACTAAAAATAGAAAAAATTAGCCAGGCATGGTGGCGCGTGCCTGTAGTCCCAGCTACCTGGGAGGCTGAGGCAGG